AATATTTAATGAGATTTAAGTTAATTGGATAATCAACAAAATATAATAATATATATATATATATATATATATATATATATATATATATATATATAAATATAAATAAAATTTATTAAATATTATAATATTTAATTATTTTTGGTCAAATAACTGGTTTATAAAAAACCACATATTTTAATATAGAAAATTAGATTTTAGCTTATTTAATATATAATAATATAATATAATAAAATATAATATAATAGTATATATATAAATATATTATAATGTATTTAATTATTTTTGATCAAATTGCTACTTTAAAAAAAAAAAAAAAAAACATATATCTTAATACAGAAAATTAAATTTTAAACAATCTATTACAAATATACCTTACTATACCTTTTTATTATATTCTAATAAAAATAACAACATTCCAATCATTTGATCTCACTCTGTAGATTAAATTCTATATTTAAAGTGCACCCCTGTAGTATTTCAACAAAAATGTGCACTTCTTTTGTTTTATTTTTTATTATTTAATAATAGATATTAAGATTATATAAATAATTAGATATATATATATATACCTTTTCATAGTGTCGGCGTCATTATAATGAAGATAACTTTCACTTCCTGTGAAACTAGGAACCGAATTTAGAAATATCGTAGGTGGTGGTGGCAGGTTGACATTAGTACCAGCACGCACAGACGTTAATAACGTATAATCATCTAAAATTGGGCATGGATGGGGTACACCAGCATGACATCGACATGTAAATCGATCTCGCAAAGGTCGACATTCAGCATCTCCGCAAGGCCTAGCCTCGCAAGCGTGACCACAATTTCCAACGTTCATACCACCCAAGGCCTCAGCCAAGATACCAATCTGAAAATTCAAATAACACGCGAATAGAAATGAAATATTTCAAACCTCCCTCCCTATCCCCACATAAGGAAAATCAATAAAAAAAATTACGTAAAATAATCGATGAAAAATATCCAATTTATTTTCAAAGTAAATTCATTGTTTTTCTTTATTTTTTAAACGTTTCATTGTTACGGGCGTATATATGCGTTCATGTAAATTTTCTTATAGTCTTAACTGTGATAATGTAATTAAATTATGTTCAATTTTACCTCACGTCGATTGAGAATAACACTTTGAATGCATCCGACGAAACTGCTGGTTGTTTTAAGTTTTAAAGAATATAGATCGGGGGATGGTGCACCACCGAGATAAAGATTAAGGGGTAAAAATAATTGTGTGAATGCACCCGGTGCCAAAATTTCTCGAATTAGTTCGTTCTCAACGTTAAGAGATGCCAAACGACCTGTTCTTGATACTTTGATTTCCAACCATTCACCTAAACGTATTGGATTGTCGCTCCTGAAATTAAATTCAATTATCAAAAAAAAAAAATCATCCTGTATTTTAAAATTGCAATATAACAATTAGTTTTTTACAATCGTTCAACGTGCAAATCAAATTTTCTTTTTTTTTTTTTTTTTAATACTAGAGGAACCAGAAAGTCGCTTTTTTATATTAAATTCAAACGTATAAATTTTTATTTTGTTAATAATTTAATTAACCTTTGTTATCAACAACAATCCTTTTTTATTTAGTGTGGAAATTTTTTTTTTTTTTTTTTTTT